GTGTCCTTGAGAAACAGAGGGAAACTTGCATCCATAAAGACATCACCTGTCTTACATCTGTCATCCAGGAAACTTTAGGAGGCAACTCTTTCAGTCCTATTTACGTCCAGTGACAGTAGAGTCAGTGCAAACAACCAGCCTTGACTAGAAACTCAGCTTTTAGATGGCTGAATTTATATGTGATGAATCCTTTCCCAATTTGAAATGTAGATTTTTCTTCTTCTCCCCCTATAGTACTTACTTGAGGGAGTATAGAATGTGAGGTTGAGAATGAGGATGCTGTATTTAAAAACTTTTCATGTTTATTTGCCAGTATTCATGTCAGAGGGTTGCTGTTTTTTAAAGAAATATCACAAGTTACCATCGAGTCAATAGAATACAAAAGAGCTGTAATTTCAACAGAGGAAAGGCAGTAAAGTTACCATGCTGGAAACAATATATTAATTTGCAGATCCCTGTTTTTATTAACGTTTCTATCTATAGACCCACATCAACTGCAGGGAGCCACCCTGAAACTACAAAAAAGCATGACAGTGTTGTAGAGTTTAGACACTTGTCTTTTAAGTGAATATACTTATGATTAGATGAATAGTTTCTTACCACTAGAGGGCTCAAAATTGCTATGTGATTTTATATATGAATGCATGCATAAACATATATATACACACATATATACATATGCACACAATGTATGATATGTGTACATTGTTCATATGCATGTATTTTATTTGTGTGTACAGATGTAGAAGCATGGGTATGCACATATATGTATACACACTTGTATTTTAATAGATGATCTTTTTTTTATTTTGAAAGCTTTGAACATTTAAATGCAATTCAAATCTTTAAAGATTTTCTAATATAACTTTGCAATTCACCATATACAGATGAAATACAGTTTCTTTAGTTTCATAAAATAATTACAGTTTTTAACTTTGTTCTCAGATGGTCAGATTTACACAGAATGCTCATCTCATCAAATTGAATGGTGAAAACAATCACAACAAAATACAGTTCAAACTTCCATGACTAATGCCTGCTTTCACCTTATGTTTTATTGAGATATCTAAAGGACACTGAATAACATGGGCATAGTTCATTTTTCCATAAATGACTTTCCACAGAATGTAATGCAGTGTTGCAGAATCCATCATGCCAAGCATTTTTGTTTGATTATATGACATATTCTCCTGGGAAATCTTAGAGGCTCTAAATAAATAAAATGTTCCTAGAAAGCTGACTGTTTTCTTTCACTAATGTGACAATTGTAATAAGGATAAAAATGGCTTTCAACCATTTTTAAGTAATGCATAATCTTTGGAGATAATGCAACCTAGTTCCTTCTCTGTATGATGATGTAATAATTAATAATTTACCCATGCAGTCCAAAAGATAATTAACATAATATTTTCAGTCAGACTAGACATATACAAAAGAGGTATCAATATTTTCAAAATGTCAGCGAAGTTTTATTCATCTAAGAAAACTGTTCAATAAACCAATATTTCAAGAACAATGAAGTTTCACATTATCACGATTAACAATAATGTATGTTGTTGTAGAAATGGGAATACAGACACCAAAATGTTTTGCAGCCAATTGTTGCTTTACATAATACTAAATTTTTGAAGAGTTCCAAAAATTCTTTGGATTTTTTTCCTGTATAGAAAATTATGGAAAAGCACAAGACAACAGAAGATGCTCTTTTTGCAGCACTTCAGTGTTTTGTTTGTGAAAAATTGTGTTGAATAAGATTACGTATATGAATAAAGATAACTCGAATGAGAATTTGCATAACTGAGCCAGATCTTTCAGTCTTTGATAAAGAATAATATCTTTGAATTTCACTGCACTACATGTGATTACTGTCTACATTATCACTAGTACAGTCAGATACTAACAATTGAATAAAGTTTTAACATATTCATTTTCTATCATCATCATCTTATGTGTGTTTTATTAAATTGTTAAAAGGACTACCAGATGTTTCACCTTCATAAAATGGTAAATTCTTCAAAAAGCACAATACAATAATTGGGGAGGGTAGGGGAGTTTAGAGTAAATAGTGAAGTAAGCTGGAAATGCAATTCTATTGTTGTGTACACTTAGTTAAACTTTAAAAGTACAGCTTATTATAGTCCCATTTTTATTAACACATTTAATTTAAAATGAAATATATGTGCAACTAAGCAAGATATTTTTGCTGCAATAATTTCAACTCTTGCATGTGTTTCTTTAAAAAATTAACTTTACTGATTGTGTGTGATGTTAGATTAGAACGATAATGTTCTAATAAAAAAAATCATCTTTTCTGTACTTTTTCTTATGCATAATGCATTCTTAATTTACCAGTCTGTCATTTGAACTTGGAAAACAACGTGGCACATTAGATGACAGATAGTAAAAGTGGTTTTGTTACTAACAGGCAGGGTTGGTTAGCATATTCATCACATCCCCTTTGGTTCCAGGAGTAAATCATCCTGAAATCGATAGACCAAACTAAAATGTATTAAAACTATTTTACTAGACTAAAATTATAAATTTTATACATTTTATACACATTTCCAGAACTGGAAGGTCTATTTCCTTAACCACCGCCTACTGAAGTCAATGAAATTATGCCAGGAGTAAGACTCTATGCAGATGGAGATAGCTATTCCATTAGGATCCTGTGAAAAACATCCTTATCGTATCACTCCAGCGTACAGATTAGTTCTAGTGATTTCACATTTATATTATTGTCCTCAGTATAAGAATGACATTAAACTATTAAAGTGTCCAGAGGAGGGTGACCAAGATGGCTAAAGGTATTGAGGAGAAGATTTATGACGAGCGGCTGAGGTCACTTGGTTTGTTCAGCTTGGAGAAGAGAAGGCTGAGGGCTGATATGACAGCAGTCTGCAACTTTCTCAGGAGGACAGTGGACAGGCTCCCCAGAAAAGTCATCATGGCGCCAAGACTTTCAGACTTCAAAGACTGTCTGGATGATGCTCTTAGTCATATGATTTAGTTTTAGGTAGTCCTGTGAGGACCAGGGAGTTGGACTCAATGATCCTTATGGGTATCTTCCAACTCAAGGTATTCTATGATTCTATTTCTGTTATCCTCTCATGCGATTTTGTCACTCTTGAAAGAAAAAAACTTAACTGACCACATTAGCTATGTCTGCAATATTCTTGATAGTTGATACATCATCATTACCTTAAGTCTCAGCATCCTTTGTAGAAGAAAACCCAATCTGAGTTAATGTTGTATAAATATTTATTAATAAAAATCATAACATGAAAATTGCAGTGATTTTCACAAAGATCCTACATGCCGCAAGATTTGTACTGAGTACAAGGAACTGCAAATGTGAAATTTCTAAGAAAGCATTAAAATTCTAAATTAAACAGGTGATTTTTTTACCACCTTCAAATGAAGTAAGAAAAAATTTCATATTGTCAGTGTTTTACACTACTTTTCAGATTAGTTATGGTAATTCAGTGTATTTTACAATTAACTCTTGCAACTTTTCAGCTCCAGAGATTATAGCTGAATAGGTTGTGTGCAATTAATTTTATCTGTAGGCCTATATCTGTGTATACAGAAATGTCTAGAAATAGATTTGAGTAATACATATTTCAATGTATAGAATGGAAAAATGAAGTAATATTACACTGCCTTGATGACAAGTTTCAAAGTCTGTTTGAGTATTTATTGTTCTTTCAATACACATGTATATGTTACAGATTTTCTCTTCTTTATAATCAAGTCAGCAAAAAAATAAATTGTGCTGTGCTATATTCTTGTATTTGCTTTACCCAATTTATGGGAACTTTGCTTCTATGGCTATCGAATTTCAACAGAACCGACTGTGTCTCATTATTTGGAGAAAATAAATGGTGTCCAACTCATTAAACCTAGATGAGATGAATATATTGTAATTCTACTTTGTAGTGTATTATCCAGGAAGCATTGACATCCAGGAGCATTGCCTAAAGCTCCATGAAGCTTTAGATACTTTATTAGCTAAAATAGTCAGTTCTTCTTGTTGTTACCTTTGCTTAGGTAGACCTCCTTAATGTGGTTTATTTCAGATATCATTTGATACAAAAAAATATGGGAGAGGCAAAGACGGAAGAGATGGAATTTTAGCTTCAGTACATTATTTTTAATCAGTTGGCAAAAATGAGCTTTCAGGTGGGATGGGCTATGGTAGTTTTAATGAACTTATTCTTAATTGGACAATACCTTTTTTGTAATCTCTATGTGATATTTACACAACAACATAACCTCACAATTTAATGTCAGCAATATATTATTTCTATATCTGTCACATCAGTCTTCTAAAATATGATTTCTTTCTTCTATTTTCTATATTACAAGTGCATTACAGATATCAAAGGTGCCAAGACTTTCTATCACAAAGATGTCATTTTCAGCCTGGTGGCCATTGTTACTCTGCTTCTCCTCATCCATGAATGTGTTTCATAATATCACTATCACGACACACTATTGAGTTAAGAAACACCAGGCATTAACCAAACTTAACTGGCTAAACTGACAAATATAGGCTATCAGACTGAACACAGCTTTTTATAAACTTTATTTAAAAACAAACAAACAAACAAACAAACAAACAAACAAACAAACAAACAAACAAACAAACAAACAAACAAACAAACAAACAAACAAACAAACAAACAAACAAACAAACAAACAAACAAACAAACAAACAAACAAACAAACAAACAAACAAACAAACAAACAAACAAACAAACAAACAAACAAACAAACCACAATATGTTAAATATGGGGTTTAAGGGATTAAAACCCTTTGTTATAAACACATACAAAGATTAGAGTTCATTTCCATTTTAAATACTTACTAACAGGCATACCAAGTGGGGTAAACATGTAGGACAAGATCCCAGGGCTCGGGATTACAGGGATCTAACAGCAGTCAATCCAAAGCAATGACAGCATGCAACAGAGGCAGGAGGTCCACTTATAAATACCTTTGTTGTGAGCCATGATGAATCTGTAAGCATCGTTGCTAATACACACAATGATCCTGTTTCTGCTTTTTCTTGTGATTTGTACTTTTTCATGGGCATTCATCTCACTTGCAATGACTCAGTTCTGCAGAATCTTATTTTTACTGTTTCTACATACGATTTTTTTTGTTCCAGAGCAAATAGCTTAAACCTCTAAGTGAAAATAAGAACAATTAGAAGAATACAAATATTTAGAAGTTTTCAACAGAAGTCTTCCTACTTGGCTAAAATATTAGAAGCAAAATACCGCACAGAAAATTTACAAGACACATAATCATGCTTTTTTAATATATATATACTATAACTTTCTGTAACATCATATTTGTATCTGTTTATTATCAACTTAAGCAATGTTGAAAATAAACATACAAAATTTTCACCTTAACTTGTGATTTTTAATTATTGGAAAGTATATTTTTAGTTTTCACTCTGTAACTGCCAAATTTCAAATTATATACTAGCTGTTATTTTTTTATATATAATTTATTAGAAAAGATAAATTATATATTCCTAAATGTTGTTTTTCTATATCCTTATTACATAACCCTAAATATTTCAATCCAAAATTAATTCAAATTGCCCATCACTAGAATATGAAGAGAATCTCTCATTGCATGAATGCTTTGAAGTTTATGTTAATATCTTTTATATAGTTTCCTTCCTTTCTCCATTATTTTTTCCTTTAATTATTTTGTACTGAATGACTTAAGACCCCATGAAGCCACTAGCCCTATTTTCATCTAGTAGGTTCACGGAGTTCTATCTTCTATCTGAATGTTTTAAAAAAAGTTTCTAAACATAATATAGGTATGTGAAACATTTAAAGCAATTCGTAACTTGTCTGAAAAAAATATTTAAAAGTCCACATATTCAGAAAGATCATCAGGGCTGCAGTAGAAAAAAATCCCATAGACTTACTGTATGCTTGGATGAGATTTGGTGGCCTAAATCTCCAATACTGAAGAAATGACGCTCTCTCTCATTGAATTGAAAATAAATGAAGCATTAATTCAGCAAGGTAGACAAGCATATGCTTTATTTTGAACATATGAGTTGTTCAATTCACTTTGGTTGAATTTAAAGTCATGCACCCACTTACAAACATACATAGCAACTTCATGATACGTCTCAGTGAAATGTAAATCGAAATCAGTTATATTTTGCAACTAGCATTAAAATTAGAAAGTGATTCTATATCTTATAAGTGATTAAAGTAAAAATGGTCTCATATTTTGGTATCTTTTCACATTTCCAATGCTGCTTTCACTGAACCAAAATAACTAGATGAATAAACCCCAAAATTAATTAATAATATGTCACCACTTCCTTCTGGGTCAAAATGGTAACTAAATCATTTAGATAGACTTGTACTACTGATGAGCTGTCTTTTTTAACCTCGCTGCACTAAGGAATACCCTTTGTCTCAAAGAGGCAGCATTATGTCTAATCCTCATGCTTTTTCTGTGGCCAGATAGCCTTTGTGTGCAGCTGACACACAGATACATGTTTTCATGTCAAACTCTGAGGATGTGTGCCAAATCATTCTGGCCAATTTATCCTGACAGTTTTATATATATTTACCCTCCCCCACCAGGAGACTTTCCAATTGAGGAATTTTGTATTCTGTAGTAATTCATTTCAGGAGGGTAGAAATATAAGGCACTGGAATAATTAATTTTTGGTGGTGAAGTAAAATAACAAAGAAGAACAAACTCTGAGGCATTTGCTAAACTCTAGGGAAGAATCAGCTAAGTTCCCAATGTAACTACGTACTCTTAAAGATAATAACTATTGTCTAAAATCTTGCTGTGCTGAAAATTAATTTGTAATCTACCGGCATATGCATTTTTATATGGTAAAACTTTAAGAAATAATTTTAAAGATCTCTAGGTTTCTACAAGGGATAATAATACTAGAGATATGACTTTTATTACCTTTCCATTAACAAAAAAGCTACTGTTATAACAGTATTATATTTGTAAAAATTACTTTTGCTGAAATAGCTTATTATTTGGAAAACTGACTACAAATTATAATGGAAAAAAGTGGGCTTTGTTGGTGTTTAACAGCAGCAGCGTTTAGTAGTATAATTTTACTTGGATGTATTTCTCTTTCATGATATCGAGAACTATACATTTTGTCAGTGAACAAAAAGAGCAAAGCAACTCAAATTTTGCTAGATAATTTAAAATAAATCATGGTTAGCCCAGAAAAATCAGTGCCTCTGTCTTGTTGCATTCTTGTTTTTCCTTTGTCCCTTGTGCAACACCTTTACTTGCCCCCTTTCTATTCTTTTGCCAGGAAGATTTCTGATCTTCTCCACTAAAATAACTCTCATTTGTCAGCTGAACTATAGCAAACTTCCAAGCTTCAAAAATCGTGAATAAGCTCATATATTGTAACATTAGATTTAAAAGTATGACCTGTTTTAACCAGTTTTAATTTATGAGAACAACCAAAACTATATTAGACTCTTTCAGAGCATGACTGAGCTCCAGCAGAGATGTCCCTATAACCACTTAGAGGGTATTGCATTGTTCCAGGTCTTTAAGTTCACAAGAAGGGGATCAGTCTTGACAACAGAATCAAAGAAACTAATTTTGCTGTCAATGTCTCTTTTTTTCATATTCAGTTCTCTGAAAGTGCCAAAATTTCAAAGAAGTAAGACAGTTGTTGGTGGGTGGGTAAAATGAGACATAAAATAGTGATTCTGCTAGAACAATTATATTAACAGAGATTGGAAACAAGTATGCTGATGCCTTGAAAAATACCCTGTTCACCGTACTGTTAGAGCAATACATCCTGAAGCATCTGGAGTGATAGCTGGCTGAAATCAGTTGGTAGAAGAGATGCTTCACTGATGTTCTTTTACAAGACAGTGCTAGCAGTTACCCAATCAATAACACCATAAACTGACATAAAACAAACAAGGTGATCCTGCTGTTTCTCACATACTATTACATCATTGCTTCATTACTCCTAGTTTGTACCAGTTTTAAACCTTGAATTATCTGTTTTCCTGTTTAAAAAAGAACAAACCCCCCAAAAAAACCCCAGGAAACACTACTGTTATTGGAAGGTAATTAGAATCAAGTTTTCTGATTCTTTCATTCTGAGAAACAAAAGTTCTTTTAAATTACTTTTCAGAAATATCACCATGGAGATGCCTTTTTGGGGTAAGTGTCTAGCCACTGGAGTTTCATGGATCATGACCTGATCCACATAGTCAGTTCCTCGGGAGAGATGAAAATTGTCCTGAGGCTACTGTGTTTTTTACACCGAGATCCGGATAGGGCCTCAGGTAACCTCAAGATATAAAGAATACAAGAACAGCTTATAAATCTGATCTACAGATTCAGGAATGAAGAACTAGGAACAACTCAATTCTATATTCCTGAAGAAAAGTCAAAAAAACCCTTTGCAAATTTTGATGAATATTGTGGGAATAGGAGCAGGCAGGTGATCCTTCTGCTGAGACAGCAGGAATGGATGTTGATTTCCTACACATTCTCTCTCATTCCACCACTAGAAAGGGAGTTTTGGCCAATATATTCATGTTATGATAAATAGTAAGTCAAATTATTACAAATTTTAAGTTACCATTCTCAGTTTACTGGAAAAAGAAAGATACTACATAGTAAATGGTCTACAACATGAATGGGTTTAGCAGTTGTCCATGCTCTTATCTGTGAAGAGTGCAATAAAAAACACTTGGCTTTTAGTTTGGTAATGCATATAAGTGCAGATAATAAAAGGAATATAAATATGGGAAAACATAAACAGGTCACTTTCTGTCTAATACATGTTTAGCTTTTTTTTTTTTTTTTCCCAAACCTTGGATTTGATTTTCCTTAGCTTAATGTTGCTGCAGTCTTGGAGAACTTCCACTGAAACTTTATATTTTTTACTGGTGAAAAACTTCTGCATCAACTGGATAATTTAATAAATAAATTTAACTGATAGATTATTGGACGAAAAAGTTTCATAAACAGAAGGTGGAAGTTAAAAACTTGAAAGAGACTTCTGAGTTCATCACTAACTGTAATTTTAGTGGAGCTAAAGCTTACCAGGAATCACAGCAAACGGTCAGTAATGAAAAACTGCCACTAGCAGTGGCATCATGTTGGACAAAAGCTGTATCTGTTTTCTTTTACCTAGCCAGGATATTTAAGAGGTATTGTTTTTCATCTAATGATTATTAGGCTCTGTCATATTTCCCGTAACAGGAAAAACAAACTGTTCATTCTGTTAGCCAGAGGAGAAATATCCATCACCTCTACAAGAAACAGGAGGTTGAGTCTTGCTCCACAAAGTGGATGTTATCAGATGAGGTGATGTTTACTAGAACTTAATCTCAGTTATTCTTCAGATTTCTATTTGTTAAAATACATGCTTAATTGCTTTGGTTTATGTCTCTTCCTAACCCCTTTCACTTCTAAGCCCAGCTCTCATATCTGTGGGAGAGATTAGTTTGAACACTACCATCCACACCTCCACCAGCCAATAGCTTTTTTAGAAATAAGGCTGGCAAATTGAATTTGGATTCCATGCTATCACTGAACTGACTGTTGCTGAAGTTATAGAATACATTAGCTGGTAGGACATGACTGAAAGAAACAGAAAAGGGATCAAGATCCCACAACAGCTTGAACAACCTCTGGTTAGATAAGCCGGTCTACAGCAGGCTGAAAAAGAAAAACTGAGCAACAGATTACAAATTCGGAAAAAGAGGAAAACTCTGCTGATACAGACTTTTTTTATTTTTCCATTGGCCCTATCTCCATCAGAATCAGGACAGAGTGGGAACAAGCAGCAGGCCTCCACAACTATTTTCACTCGTGCTTCAGACCATGAACAATGCAGAAGGCTGATATATGGCAGGGAAGGGTCCCAGGTTGCTTGCATTTTGCTAAAAGCTATGTCATTGTCCCCCACCCATGACAAAAACACAGCTTGCGTTAAACTCCCCATGACCTCTACCACTAGAGGGCTGCACTTCATGCTATACGCCCCCCTAGACCTCAATTATCACTGCTCAAAGCAGAAATAAGGAAAAATAAGCACATTCTGAAGCATATATGTATTAATATATTTATTAATATTAAGACAGTAATTGCTGAAATGTTTATTATACGCAGCTATTTTCTTAGTTAAGTAGAACTGCTAGTAAGAAACTGAAAGACTAGTTATATAGTTTTAGCTAAATTCTTCAAAGATGAACCTGTCTATTAAACTATAAAAATCCTACTTATACGTACCAGAAAAGTTGAAAATGCTTGTCTTAGTGGGATTGGGAGATAACATATCGGGAAATTATTAAACAAAAGGCATTCTGTAGAGACAAGGGGAGGCACTTGTGAAACAGCTGTTGGTAAAGAAACAGCCTAATGCAGGACAGACATCTGCTGAGTCTGAGGAAATTAGGTTTCAGGATTACCACTTTTTCCTCTAAGCTTATGGAAGACAGATACGCAAACAACATACATGCTGCTTATCACGTTAGAACCCTTTTTTATTCCACACTTTAATATTCCTGTTGTTAGGATGAAACAATACTTTTGTTTAAAGAATGAAATCAAGTAAATGTTTTATAAGCTAATTGGCGCTCCCAAAGGGAAGACTTGCAGGTGCTGAATCCAATCAGATCTGCCACATAATTAAAATTGGTACGGGGGGCACAGTAAAACAGATGTGGTCTTGAAACAAGAGAATTGTTTGATTCAATGTTACTACAGATGAATGGGACGTACTCAGTGAGATAAAGGGAGCAGTGTTATAATTTATCCAGTTCCACTGTGGAAATTGACTCAAGATGGCTTCAGTCGAACATTGTGGGGTTTTTTATTTTTGCCTTCAAAATTTTCTAGAATTCATTTGCTCAGTTTACAAATAAAAAGAGGCTCCTTAGGACTGATGACCCTACAAACTGGACCTGAGATTTTCAAGTCATGCTGTGCTCTTTCTGGCTCAAATGCTAATTAAAATTCTTCAACTGGAACTTAGTAAAGAAAATGGAAGAGCTGAAACCAGTTCCCAGCTTGCTGTACCGTAATTGTGTCAGCAACTGCCAAGGTAACAGAAGCCTAAAATTTTATTTCAGTCAGTAAACTAAGCAATTATGAGTCAGAGTATCTTAGATACAAAGGGTATATGATGAGTAAGAAAGTCCCACTTTTATACAATCATTTTTCTGACCATATATGCTATCAAATTGTTACCGAATCTGCCGCATCTATTTCATCTGCCTGTGAGGAGGCTAGATATCACATTCCTGGGACACAATTCCCAAAGAAGTCATTGAAAGTTTCCTATGTACAGCACTGGATCGAGTTCTTAATTTGTGAATTCTGTTGGACAGGAGCCTGTTTAGATGTTAAAGTGTCCATGTTTTAATATGCTATAATGCATTATGTATCTGGCTTACAATTTATAAGTAGAGGTGATGTGCTGTATTATATATTATACATGAAATCTGTATTTTAAGTACTAAAAATTGTTTGGGGCACTATTAATGGCAAGTGATTACTAAAACTAAGGCCGAATATCCCAGGGAGCTTAGAATGGAAATTGGATTTCATCCACAAACAGCCAGGTTTTAAGCTTGCATAGTAAGAGGAATCAAGTCAGCAGCCATTCTGCACACATACATATCAATACAAATATAGAACAGAGCACGGCCTAATGCAATTAACACACATTTCTAAATTTTGTACAGAATTGATGCTCTAGTACTGACCACTACCGTAACGGTTATATCGGAGAATTTTTTTCAAGGCAATGAGTCAATTAAATAGCAAAGAGCTGAGTAAAAATGCTTATAAAAGCAGACAATCCCCCGGTGCCCGCCCACCCCCGCCCCCCTGCACCTTACAATATTTTAAGCTTCAGCTTGAATAATTGGAGATTTGCGAGCAGAAATAACCTTCGCTTCAGTGAAACACGTTTGAATTTTCCACTAAATATTTACATAAGAAAAGCCACTCTGTGTCATATAGCTCCAGCTAGCCCGGCTGTCACAGTACAAAAATAATAGCTTTATTAATATATTTATTATTTTTTTTTTCCTACAAGCCTGCGCGATGCAGCCTGGCGCGTCCAAGGCTCCCGGCGCGGAGCGGCGGTGGCCGGGAGGAAGGGCCCCGTCCGCACCGGCCTGGTGTCGCCGTGCCGCGGCCAGCCTCGACGGGGACAACGTCCCCGCTATCCCGCAGCCTCCCCGGGCTGATCTCCGCCGTCCTCCCCCGCAGCCGCGGGCCTATGAGGCGCAGCGTGTAACCCAGGTGACGCCGCATCACGGCGGGGACCCTCCCGGGGCGGGAGCCGGCCTCCACACACGCCCTCCCCACCGTCGTCGTCGTCGCCGTCGTCGTCGTCGTCGCCGCCACC